CCGTGCCCAGCCTGGGGGTGTCGGGGCGGGGGGGGGGGGTGATCCTTCATTCCCTCCCCCTCCCTCAGTGGAGTCCTTGATTTCTGTTGCGATTGGCACCCCACCCCGGGCCGGCGATGGAGTGAAACCTGCACAGCTCCATGCACACCTGGCATGCTGGGTTAATTGTCCTCTGCTCGCTCACTCCGTACGGCCCCCGCCAGGCTGAGAATCACTACACCGCTATTCCCCTAGGATAGCCCGGCTCCCGGCTGACCTGCGTATGGCCCCCGTGGCCCCCCTCCAGCATCGTGGAGCCAGTCTGGCACTCCAGCCCTATGGCTCCCCTCCCACCCAGACCCCGCATCCCCATTCTGCTCCCGCACCCGACTTCCCACCCATCCTTCCTACCCTCAGCCTGCTCCTGCATCCTACCACCCGCCCAGACACACCAACCCCCAACCTGCTCCTGTATCCCCGCGCCCAGTCCCTACACCCCAAGCCCACTTTCCAGCAGCTCCCTCCCACACACTGAATGCCTCATTTTGGCCCTACTCTGGGCAGTAGGGAGACCCATAAAATCTACTAGACTGGGCCTTCCTAGGAGCTGGTGTGCAAGGGATCCTTTCCGCTTCTCAGTCAGGGTTTTTTTTTCCTTCTGCTCACTTTCGTGTGGCCCACGACTGATTTTTCTGTGCGTCAGCGGCCACCGACCCAAAAATGTTTCCCCGACCCTGCTCTAAGTGTACGTCTAGACTATGGGCTTGCTTCTGTCGACAAAGAGCGTCTAGCCTACATCCAGTTCTGTTGACAACGCAAGTCGCTTTGTCGACATGACAGTGTAGACGCAAAGGACAGTGTAGATGCAATAACGCCTTCTGGCGACAGAACTCTGTTGACAAAAAGCATTATTCCTCATAGAATGAGGTTTACAGCCGTCGACAAAACTGCTGAGTTCTGTCGACATTATGTCGACAGAACTCGGCGGCAGTGTAGACGCAGGTATAGTTTTGTCGACAAAAAAACCCTGTAGTCTAGCCACACCCTAAGAGATGGTCTTTCTATAGCAGCAGTTCTTCATCTTTTAGTACCAAGAAACCCTTCCTGTGTACCAGCATCAGAAGGTCAGTATAAAATAAAGAAAGAGCCGGGCAGTTACAATCCCCCACCTTGACACCTGTTTGCGACCACGCTGGGGGCCCAGAGCCAGTAAGCTGAGTGCTTGGGTGGCCACCCAGGAGAGATTCAAATACTGCCCAGCTGTTTAGCAAAGTGCCCACAGCCAGCAGCCGGTATTTCTTCTGGTGGTGCACATCCGCACGTGCCTCAGTGCAAAGAACAAAATGTATTCCACATCCAAATGGAAAAAAATTAGAGGGAACATTGGTCAAAGCCTACAAGTCAAGACCCATGTTTTACAATGAGGCTTGAGAGCAATGGACTATTTTTAATATTGTCAATGGATAATACAGATGTTTACTGTACAGCATGTTTTCAGCTTTGATCTATTTAAAATGTTGACAGTTACGGGAAGTTACAAGACAGGACCTCAGGGCATCATTAGTTAATGAGCATAGATGCTGAGATGCATGAAGTTAAAGCGTTATAACTGAAGGTGCAAAGAGTCAATAACCCATGTCAAAATATGCAGGTCCACAGCCTCAAATCAAAGAACATAAGAACATAAAAATGGCTGCACTGGGTCAGAGCAAAGGTCCATCTAGCCCAGTAGCCTGTCTGCCAACAGTGGCCAGCATCAAGTGCCCCAGAGGGGGTGGACTCAAGACAATGATCAAGTGATTTGTCTCCTGCCATCCCTCTCCAGCCTCTGACAAACAGAGGTCAGGGACACCATTTCTATCCCCTGGCTAATAGCCTTTTATGGACCTAACCTCCATGAAATTATCTAGCTTCTCTTTAAACTCTGTTATAGTCCTAGCCTTCACAGCCTCCTCTGGCAAGGAGTTCCACAGGATGACTACACGCTGTATGAAGAAGAACTTTCTTTTATTTGTTTTAAACCTATTACCCATTAACTTATTTGGTGTCCTCTAGTTCTTCTATTATAGGAACTTTTCTTTATTCACTCTCTCCACACCACTCATGATTTTATATCCCCCCTCACTCTGCTCCTTTCTAAACTAAAAAGCCCCAGTCGCTTCATATGGGATCTGTTCCAAACCCCTAATCATTTTAGTTGCCCTTTTCTGAACCCTTTCTAAGGCCAAAATATCTAAAGGCTAAATCAGTTCTGACACCTCACTTTTCATACTTTGCCTAGCTGTCAATCCTTATCAATGGCAATACTTCTTGGGTCTGTGTGTGTGCTGCAGCTGAGATTTGCCAACACGGACAGATTAAAAAATCAATCCTTTCAAGTCTGTCTATACCGCTTTCCAACCCCCAACATGTCACTAACCCTAGCTATGCCTTGTAACATGACTCTGGGGAGATGGGATTTACTAATGCAGGTGTCACGGCTCAATTCCCCAACCAGACACTCATGAGTGCAGAGATGGGAAGCTGGTTAGTAGAATAAACTCTGTAAAACCTCTCTCTGACTCCCAGAGACAAACTTGTTTGATCTCAGTCCCCCTGAGACCCAAAAAGACAAAGACTAATTTCTTGCTGCCGCCACCTAAGTAATTAAAAGAAAATATAAAATAAACCCTTTTCCAGGGAAGAGATCACTTGGGAATCCCCTTTCTAAGGCAAAGTTCTCCCTCCTGCCCCAACTTCCGTTTTGCTTGGAGTTGGGAAAACAAACAGAGGGAATCCACAGAGAAAAATGGACTCTGCCAAGTAACTAGGCATATAAACTTAAGGACACAACAATCAACCAATACCAGTTAATCAAAACAAAAAGGAAAACATTTTTATTATTGAAACAAAACTACTGATGCAAGCATAGTAAATGACTAGGTGTTAAATAACCATGAAGTGACAAACTCATGAAAATCCCTGGGCTGTAATTCTTAGTTACAAAAAGAAAAACAAATAATCAGCTCAGGCATGATTTCCAAACCCCCAAACAAGGAAAATAATAAAACCAGATGGACTATCTAAACTTTTCCCTATTTACACGTTTCAAGAGGTCCATTCCTGGGAAAGCCCATCTCCTTCCATACGTGGAAGAAACTGGTCTGATCTAAAACAAAGAAGAGAGAAAAAAAAACCCTCTCTCAGTTTGAAATTCCTATCTGCATTTCATTGGCTGAATGCCTTAGCCCCTCCCTAGGTGCATCTCCAGTTGTACCTCCCTTTCCTCACTCTTCAGGGAAGTCAGACTCTCCTGAGTAGCTCCTATTTATGACAGCATGCATTCGTAATGATGGGAAACTGGAACCTGGAGAGATGAAGGGAACTGCCCAGCGGATTGAGTAGACTGGGAGGAGAATTGATTTCACAGGCTCCCCTGTCTGTGCTGTAACCCCTCGGTCACTCACTCTCTAGTGAATGGGTTTAGGCTCAAACCACCATGCTCAGATGTAGTGCCTAATCTGACAACACAACTCTCTTTGGAACTTCGTTCTGAAAAAGGCCCGGTCAGCATCCCCTTCCACCCCAGTCTTTTCCATCTCCCGGCTCCTCTGTGACCTGCTGAGACTAACATGTGCAAAACCAAGAATCTACCTGGAGCGCTTGCAGACCCAGTGATCATGTGGTCGGAACTACTGCCCCTCTCAATCTGTGAATATTTAAGAGCCTCAGGGGCTAACTCCCGTGGGAGCCACACGGCTAACTCTTGTGGCACCCCGAGGCGGAGGCTGTGTGGAGTTGCTTCACGGCTGTTGCTCTAGCACCCCACATCCGTGGACAATAAGTTATTCCTCCAGAAACTGAGGCATCTGATCCACACACACACACTCACCCCAGAAAGTCCCTGCTGGGGGACAAGCCGTGAGTCCCAGAGGTTGAAGACTCTCTATAGCACCTCCACTCCTCTAGCACTGCACCCTTTCTGCTGCGTGGGGACCCTTCTGTATCTAGTCAACCCTCTACGGTCATGTCTCTATGGCTGCATTCACTCTACGTTTTTTAGAACCTCATGGACTTCCCCCCATCACTTGTCTTTGATGCTACCATTCACCTGGCCCATCAGCAGAGTTTGACCTTCGGCACTAGGAGAAGAGGTGCTGCAGCACAAGCTAATGGAGTAGCTCCATCAACTTCCAGCTTTAGTAGATTTTTACCCTTTTCAATGAGTCAGGCGCAAGATAGGGACAAAGACCCACCCCGGTCAGCGCAAGTTACAGGAGGCCCTGCACATACCTGGCTCTTGCCTGTCTTGCAGGATGGCTGACGTGTTCCCCTTAATCGCTGACGGAAGCCGGACAGCAACGTACCAGGGAGCCTGCCAGTTCTTTGCATTACTCATCACGCTGGGGGTCGCAGTGGTCGGAGGAAGCCTCGTGGGTGAGCAGTGTGTCTGTGGGTGGGGCATGGTTTCACGGTGGTCAAACAAGTACAGCAACATCCCATCGCTACAGGACCACAACAACAGCATTTTTGGTATACAGGCTGAACTTCTGAAATCCAGGACTTTATGCGCCAGCAACATCCGTGATCCAGCCAGATCATGGATATTGCTGGCTCAGAGAGCTGCAGCAGCTCTGGCCAGGGTCAGGAGTGCAGCTAGCTGGTGGCAGTGGGGTGGGTGGTTGGGAGCCCCATCTGAACTGGGGCTGGTGCTCAGGTGTGGGGCCAACAGCTAGGAGGGGGAAATTGACCTCCCCTGGCCTGGCAAAATCCCTGGTTCTCTACCACTCTGGTCCCAAGGTTGCTGGGCCAGGGTAGTCCAACCTGTAGTCAAATAGAAATGACTGATGTGCCAATAGCACAGGTCTCAGCAGGGGTCAGGACTTGATTGAGCTAAGCAGGACATGCACACCTAATGGCCTTTACCCTGAAGATTTTGCAGTCTAAATAGACAAGATAGAATCATTAGCCCCATTTTGCAGACAAGAGAACCAAGGCAGAGGCCGACTGAAGCCCAGAGCCTCAAAGAGATTTAGGGGCCTAAATTCTTTCCAGGATCTGGGCCTACAGTGACATGACAAAGGTAACCCAGGGAGTCTGTGGCAGAGGTGAGAATTGATCCTCAGTCCTCTGAGTCTCAGTCTAGTATTTTACTCTTATTCATTACTTACGCTGTGGCAGAGCTTTGGCGTTCCAATCACAGAGGCTGCGTCTAGACTACATGGCTCCATCGATGGAGCCATGTAGTCTAGACGCAGCCTCTGTGATTGGAACGCCAAAGCTCTGCCACAGCGTAAGTAATGAATAAGAGTAAAATACTAGACTGAGACTCAGAGGACTGATGCTAGTCTGGACGGTCCTGTGCCGACCTAAAAGCCCTTTGTCGGCAGCCCCGTTATGCCTCGTAGGATGAGGTTTACCGGAGCTGCCGACAAAGGGCTTTGATGTCGGCAGGGGGGCGTCCAGACTAGTGGGGCGGGGGGGCGAAAAGCCGTCCGCTGGTTGTCAGCGCCGCGCGGGAGGCAAGTGAAGG